TTTCTTTCTCTTTCCTCCCGGCTGCAGGGCAGACCCCGCACAGAGCCCGGCACAGCCTCACCGCGGGGAGAGACAGGGACAAACACACACTTCTTTTTTTCCAAAATAGAACTTTAATATATAGACGCGTATATACACACACCCACACCACACCCACGCTCTAGAGAAGCTGAAAGAACGCAACAAAAAAGAAAACTGAGGTGTGCACAGCATCACGGGGGCTTCTCGAAAAACCCCCTCCCAGCAGCTCCGCTCCCTCCTTACCTGCCCTAGGATTTCATCTTTCACAGGCGCCAAACCGCGACCCCGGGCTCGCGGTGGCTGAGCGGAATCACAGCGAAATGAGTAAATGAAAAACCAAGGTGAAGTGTTTCTCAACCCAGTCCAGTGTCAAAAAAAAAGAAGCTTAAAAATCTAAATGTACAAATTCAGCCTTAAAAGGGTTTAGTGCAAATATGAAAATTAACAGCATAATTTCAAGGTATTTAAATAAGCTTTAATATAACTATAGTGCTTTGTTCCTATACACGTTTTCCCATCGACAGATGCAACAGCACAGGGGGCATTTCTTGTTAAGAGTCAGGACAAACTCAGGACCTGGGAAAAAATAGCGTAAAGTCATTTGTTAAATCTTTTATTTATATTTCGCTTAAGTTTATTAAGGGGGGACAGGGTGTTTTATTAGTGGAGGAGCAAAGTATTTATCGCTTTACTGATTCTGGAGTGGATGGGCAAGGGGAAGGGAACGAAGGGGTCAAGAAACGCCGTCCCTTTTCCTGACATTCAGCACAGACGGATGCTGGTGGTGGAAACTGTCCGACGCGGGCGCAGGGGCCGTCTCTCCTCCCGCATTAGAAGGTCTCATCGTCGTTGCAGTCGGCCGTCCAGTGCCCGAACATCTCGCAGGTGTCGCAGTAGGGGCGTTCCTCTCGCCGGCTGCCGTGGTAAGCCGAGTGGGGAGTCTCCTCCAGCATCTGCGCCTGGGTCGGGCAGTCCTCGGTGTCGTGAAGGTCAAAGCAGCCACAGATATCGCAGAAGAGACGAGGCTTCTTCTTCGACAGGCTCTCTTCTTCACTGCAAGATCGTCATCAGCGCAAGTCAAGCAGGGTACTTACGCTGAGAGAGAAGGCCTGCTTCCCTGCCCTGCCCCGGGAGCTGCCTCGTAATCGTTTAGAGTGAGGAAGCACCACAGTGGTCAAGAAAAAAAAAACAAAACAAAACCCCTTCTGAAGATCCCCTGATGCTCTTTCTGCCTCACAAGTGTTCCCATATTCTCTCACACTATAGTATTTAATAGACAAACTGCCCATGTAAATATGTTTAAAATAATATCAGATGTGTGCAAAGAAACGCAGGTAAACTAGTTCCTCTTTTCCCTTGATACAAGACATATGGTCACACAACGGATCAGACAGGTTTTAGTTCTCTTCCTGTGCTCTGGATCACCCCTCTCTCAATGCAGCTGCCACCTCTCGAGAGCAAAGACTCTTCTGCCTACCTTGGAAAGGGCCAGACTCAACCAAATCTGACAAGAAGTATGTTACAATATGTCAATGTTTGTCATCGATAACTACAAAGGATGATTTTGAACCAGGAGACACACTGTAGTGATGGACCTAAGGAGAAGGCTGAGTTCAATCGCTAAATTCAAGAGAAAGCGACATTTGCCCTTCCTGACAGCTGAAATTGGGCCGGTGCACTGCGCAGCCAACAGAACCGGCTGCTGCGAACAGCTCCCAGAACACAAGCCGAGGTTTCCTTTAGGACTTTTACCTGTCATAGTTATTTATCTCCTCTTCATTGCCGTTGAGGGCTGCTTCACACATTCTTTGTATTTTCAAGTTCAATTCTTCGTTTCTCCTCTGCAGATCTACTATCACTGAATTCAGGAAGTCGATCTGTGACAGTGGAGAACAAGGACAGTCAGTGGGGCGAGGATGGTGCTTCAGAGAAAGCGAGCAACAAAGCAACAACCCTCAGACCGACACGTGCAGGTGTGCATCAGCTCTTATGCTGGGTCACTGTGTTACAGAGAGCGCCCACGGACACAGGGACCGAGGGACAGGAACGTCCCACAGGACCTCCGAGCCCCTCAGTGTGATTTCTCTCCAGGGTTCTGCCCAGCCAACACGTCTGAGACATCGGTGGGTCTCAACCCACCACCAATCGATCGAGTTCTTTCTCTACTGTTACATTTGGAACAACAATCCTGCTGCACGACTCTGACCAGAAGAGCATCTCTGTTCCTCTGAGCTGGCAGCCCTGGCGAGTACCCTCAGAACCATCCTGGAGGGCACCTGATGGCACCTCCCCGAGCTGGGGCCTCCGTGATGGGTAGGGCAGCACCACAGGAGTGCAATCAGGTAATGCTGGGCAAACTGACGGAGTGAATAAAGGAAGCCAAGAGATGGAACAAACCTCGTGCTGATTGGAAGGAAGGGTTGCCATCAGCGGGTGAATTCAAGGAGGAAGAAAAACAGAAAAATACGGGTGTATGTTAATTACACTTCTGAGCTCTGTACAGACCAGCAAGGACATTTTTTAATTAGTGACTGACATTAGTGATCTCTTAGAACGAGCAGACAGTACTTCTGCTCTGTTTCCTTGGCATTTGTTGTCACACATCCCCTGCTGCATGGCAGCATTTCACACTTTCACAATGATTATCATGCTCTTTGATACGTGTCTCTCCTGTTACCAAGCACGGGCTTAATGGCGCAACTTCCCTGCCCCACTGCTGCCAACCCTCATTCTGAGTAAAGTTCTGCAGTTAAGAAGCAGCAGAGACTGACATTTTCAACTGCAGAGGCTAAGGAGCTCAGGTAGCCCACTTCTCCATGATGGCAAGCACCATGGATTCAGGTGGGTCACACCTTGTTTCTCTCTTACATCCAAGAAACCTCTGGAAAGAACCGCCAGGAGCCTCTGCTGGGCTGCGCCTCACCAACAGGCTGCAGGTCCCAACTCACCACCCCTGCTTTCCTTCTTGCTTCCTCACCTTCCAAGTAACCCGAACTACTTCTCCAGTAGATTCTTAATATTTACTGACACTATTATTTCTCTGCAGAAGCAGGAGCGTACAAGGTAACTCTGCCTATTATAATTCTGGTGTATAAAATCTGATTAGGAACTGTCTGTGTAAAAATACTTCACTCTGCCTATAGACCCAGCACTGGTTTCGCGCGCTGACATTTCCCATCAAATACCTGCTTCTCTTTTGCAATTTCATCTTGAAGTAGATTAGCAGCAATGTCTCCTTTAAAGAAAAAAACACAAATACACATAACAAAACCAAACAAGGTGCAAGTGTCCAGTAATATAAATCATGAAATACGCAACAGCTCAGTCAGAGACCAAAGCAATGCAACAGCCTTTAGTCTCCAAGACATTTTTTCACCACTGCTTTCTAATCCCTCAGTATAAGCTTCGGTAAGGGGGCCTTCATTGAGGAATTATTTTTTGACCACTGCATTTCAGAAGCATATTCAGTACTGCATATTACTTATGAAAATATATGAAAAAAAGTGCGTTTGGGTGACAGCTGCATGCACAGCTCTGCAAAGGAACGCTCCTCTGGCAAAAGATGGGGCTCTAAGTCCTACAAAGCTTAAGCAGCTCAGCATAAGGTGAGCATGAGTGTCTGCAACGTGGGACTCCCTGTCCCCTGCTCCGGCAGGTGGTTTTAGTACAGTGCCCACATGTTACTTTGCAGCTACAGCAAGGAGAACAAAATCAATCTGGGAAAGGCTCTTGCACAGAAGCCACATCGTGAACAGGATGAAGTTTTATGGCCTCCAGCCTGGTGTAAATGGGGCTCACAGGAGAGTCCGGTAGCTCTCACGTTTTGCAGCTGCTCGGATTTCGTCCTTAATTTGAGTAATTTCTCAGGGTGTTCAATTAGTTAAACCTCCTCTTAACTATCTGGTTAACAGTTGCAATCATCTACAAGATTAAAGCTGAAGGCACAGAGACAGTAAAGAGGCGCGCTCTCTCTCTCTCTCTCTTTTTTTTACCTGGGGAGCTAGTTACACTTAAAGGCTGTTCGTTGTTTTCCTTGAGTTTTTGCTCCAAGTTCTTCACCTTTTCCTCGAGTTTCAATTTATCAGACTCCAGTGACTTAACCACCGACTGCAAGGTTTTTGCCGAAGCGTTTTCTCCACGGAGCACTGTGATCTGTAAGAATTATGTGAGAATGCTCAGGCCTTCCAGAACGAAGTCAGAGCACCAAGGCAACATCCTTAGTAGGCAAGGCTGAACAGCCATCAAAAATACACGCTAGAAGTCACGTCAATCAGCACAGATACCTCAAGATTTAATTCTAAGGTTTAACCATGCTAAATTAACAAAGAAAAAGAACTAGCCAACTCTTCAGTAGCAAGCACACAAAGCCATATGCTTCTAGCTGTAACTTAATCTGAAATTAAGAATCACCCCACTGTTCCTCATTTACCTCGTTTCTGAGTTTTTCCAGTTCCTCATCCTTTTCTGTGATCAAGGCACTAGTAACATTGATGGATTTTTGCAAAGATGCTCTCTCTTCATCGATTTCTTTTTTTAATGTTGATTCTCTAAAAGAAAACCAAATAGAACCAGAAATCATCTCGAGAATGGATTACTGTAGTTGCCTAAAGAAGTTTAATTTAATGTCTACTGTAAGAAGCGCTTCTTAAAAAACAAATTTCAGTTCTGTAGTTGATTAAGAGTTTATATAGCTATAAACATTTCTGATGTTACAACTGTGGAAACAAAGCAGAAACTTTACCTAGGTAGTACATGCCAGAATCTGCATATCATCGTATCCATTTGAATTTAAAGAAGCAAGTTAATAGACTGGGGAGATACAGGATAAACAAACAGGTTGCACAACGTTGCACAAAATTTGACTTCCGAGTTTTGTCACTTTTGGGAAATTATTAACAAGCAACAAAACATACATGCAAAGCTCATTATACAACTTGTCATGCAAAGCATTGGTGATGCTGGAAATATCAGCTGGTCCTCACTAATTTCAGTGACAACATTATTTCCTGAACTGTGTCCTTGGGGAGTTTCTGGGCCTTTAACAACTTCGGTCCCAGCACAAAACCACATTGGATTTGTTTTATGGACGAAGGCTTAAAAAATCCTCCAGAGCAGGCACAGCCCTCTTCTGCATAGGTATGTCCAGTTTTCCCGACCTTTTCAGCTCATCTAACGTGAGATGTGACCTCTGCCTACAACTCCTGTCCCGACAGCTGTGTTAAGACACCACAACTGCGACATCCTCACCCTGAGCCGTCTTCCTGGTAGGTCACAGAACACCCAGCGATGAGGAACTCTCCTCTGATGTGAGGACTGTTGCTACAAAAGGTCCATGCAAACTGAAAGTTTTTTTATTTGGCTACCAAAAAAACCCAAAACAATTACTCCAAGAAGGATGGTTGCTGCTAAAGAGCAGCAAGCAGGGCCCAGCAGCTTTCAGCTGCTGCTGCGGGCGCAGCCGGTTTGGTTTGCAGTTCCAAATGCCTCGGGTCAGAGGGTCACGTTCTCACCGCCACGGCAGCGAGCTGCTGCTCCTCTCACCAGCTGAGAGTCAAACCAGATTGCACCCACGGCACAAAAACCACGAAGTAGCCGATACTTCAGAGAAACCAAGTGATGTGATGATCTCATTTTAATGACTAAACTACACTCCACTCTCTCAGGGCTGTTCAAGAGCAGAATGTGTCCTTGTGTGACGATGCTCGGTGGGTAGGGCATAGCTGTGAACTTCAAATGGAAACATTTGCATTTCCACGGTAACTACAGTTAGTGAGAGCCATGATACCCAGACCATGAAATACAATTACATCTCACTGACTTAAGATAAATAGGAAAATCTTGACAATGAGAGCACAATTAATGCAATTCTTTCATTGTTAAGATTATACTTGGGAATGGAAGCAGCAAGTGGAGAATCTGGGGTTTAGAAAAGCTGATCCAGCTACCAAACGAGAACCAAAAGGTCCATTTGGTCTCATTTTCACAATGAGAGAATTAATATAAGTGGAAACACAACAAACTGCACGATCTTCAAATACAAGTTACCCGCTGCTAACAAAAACCAAAAGGGCGACAGCATTTAACAGATCTCCTCGCCAACCCCGATTCAGCAAAACCCCGAAGGTGTGACAGCAATCTCTGTGCTCTTCGGCAGGATTGTGAACCCGCTCCGGCCTGACTCACGTTTTTAAACACTTTGCTGAACTGGATCAAAAGCGTGGGGTGGTGGTGCGCGAAAGAAATGTGTGGCCACCGCATGGGACACTGCTGGCGGCACAGAGCTGCCCTCTCCAACCCACCGAGCTGCAAATCCAGCGGTTACTTGGGCTTGGGCAATGGGAAAGCACATCTGGAAAGAGCTGCTCACAGGCTCTTCTGCACCTGAGACTTCACCCGGGCTTCCCTTTGCTGCAGAAGGGCAGAGGGAAACCCCGGTGACTGGTCCTGTGCTCGAGAGCTTGTTATTTAGACAACGGTTCCACTTTTTTTGCGAGATCTTCATCTTGGAGATCAAGACCAAACGTGTCCTTTTAGTACAAATACGGTTCACTTAGAATCACAGAATTGTCAGGGTTGGAAGGGACCTTAAAGATCATCCAGTTCCAACCCCCTGCCATGGGCAGGGACATCCCCACTAGATCAGGCTGCCCAGAGCCCCATCCAGCCTGGCCTTAAAAACTCCCAGGGAGGGAGCTGCCACCCCCTCTCTGGGCAACCTGTGCCAGGGTCTCCCCACCCTCATGGGGAAGAACTTCTTGCCATCTATCAGGCTTGCTTTCAACCACCACAAGCATTCTGGTGGTTAAAAAAGGCAAACGGTGAGCATTTCAATATGTATTTACAAGTTCAAGACAGGAGTCTAGAATAATATAAACACAAAGGGAGAGAAACGAGAAGAGGAGAGGAGAGAAAACAAGAGGGGAAAAAGGTCCCTGCACTGCAGCATTTGTTTGTAGTTTTTTTCTTTTACAGGGCAGTCCCTCCAGGAACCGGCTCTGGCTGAAGGCCCTCTAAAATGCTGAAAGTGGAAAACCTACAATTATAGTAGGTACGTGTCACTACTTACTTAGATGTAAGTGTGGATGACAGTTCACTTCCAGCATCAGCTGAGGCTACCCCGCTGCTGCTCTCCGCTCCAGCAGCGTTTGCAGTATGAGTCACATGGGAGATAGTAAACGCAAGGAGCATATGTTGAATGGGAAGTAACCACACAGTGATAACTTGCACGGAAAATCTTGTGGAAACTATTTATTTTATCAGGAAAATAATAAAAAAAAAAAGGAATGGATCCAGTGAATTTAAAAATATTTCCCTGCCAATTCAAGTGA